GGTTAACTGCTCTTCCGCTTTCCGCTTTTCCGTCAAGGTGTGAACCCGGCCTTAGGGTGCAGTAACATGGAATCAAAAATAGCGGAACGGAACAACAACGGGAAAGGCAAATGGAAGGGGTTAACCAATCAGAGCAGTTCCGTTACGTTATTTCGTAACTGGGTTTCACCATGGACATAGAAATATAGGGACAGAGCATTAGCACAGTATAACCACAGTGTAGTACTAGAGTACACATTGTCGGAAATTTGAGGAGTGGGGGTAATTCTATCTAGAAAAGGACGCACTCATTTGGAATAGAGACCCTCTAATCAGAGTCGCGAAATAACGTCAATAAGGTTTGGTCGGCGACCATTTTTCAGCAAAAACCGGAAGTAACGATTATAGTACATTGTGTAACAGTGGGGGAAAGTTGTTTATTGTGGGGACGGGCGCGACGGCACGAGCGAAGCGAGTGCGTACGCGCGCCCGTGTCGACCTATAAACAAATATGTCCCCACTGTTACACATAGAATTTTTCTTTGTGTAGGGCACATTACGTGCACGCGTGAAGAAAAATATAATACTACTGCACGTAGTACGAGCACCATCGCAGTTGCAATGAAAAGACTAGATTGTGATACATTAACACCTAATACATGTGAATCTAAATACAGTTATCAGAAAGAAATTACATTATTATATTTTTTAAATTAATACTGTATATCATAAAATTATATTTTCTAAAATGACTGGTTGTTCTGCGCCAGACTGCAATAATTCTGTAAAAAAAGGGTTATATTATGAAAGTCTTTCCTCGTAATCCTGAAAAAAGAGCAAAATGGGCAGCGAATGTAGGTCGACTTAAATTTGACGCCATGACTATTTCCGGTTTTTGCTGAAAAATGTCAGCACCAATCAAATTTGGAAACGTTATTTCGCGACTCTGATTAGAGGGTCTCTAATGCATAAGAAAATGGGCCAATGAAATTCCTTATGCACATGCTTTATGCGTTATGCAAAAGTCTGTGTTGGGGCTCTATATGTTGATGGTTCCGACGAACCAGCCAATCGTTACGGACGCGTTTGGTTCGGGTGCTTTCCATTGTATATTCTTCGTTCTCTCTCGTTTCGCGCATGCGTATAGCCGTATACTCTGAGAGAGGGGATTGAAAGAAAGAATAAGGAATTGGAAGAGCAACCCTTGGCACTGAGAAACCCTTAACCTTATCAAACTCAATTCTTTGTTTGATTCCAAAGTGATCAGGCTCAATCAGGCTTGTCCGGTCTAGTGACCCTCTAATAAGAGTCTGGACACGTGAAGTCCGCCATTATTCGTCGAAATTGTGGGAGAGAGAAAAAATCATGCTATCTCATTCTAGTGGCGTTGTAAGTTGTAGCTGATTGTAGCTCTACAAACTTCATAGTTTCTGTTTCTGTTTCGTCTCGCCTTATGCATCGTATCATTTTTAAGACCAGGACCATTAATATTCGAAGAAGAAGAAGAATCATTATGATTAATATTATTATATTATTATATTATATTATTATATTATTATATTATATATTATTATTATATTATATTATTATATTATTATA